ATCCAGCCCTGCACCTTGTTGTCTCGGATTCTCCAGCATCTGCAGTTTCTACTATCTCTGACTTACATCACATGTTGTGTTTGTGTGCTTCTCCCATATCTCCTGCCCCTCAGTGACTCTCAATGTACACTTGACCACTCATGCATACTTGTGTATGTGTGAATACAGATTATAATTAAAAAAAATTGGTCACTATTGATCGTCCCAGGCAGCCCACTAATTCTTCCTATTTCTGCTTTTATGTTTCTGAGATTATAGACCTCACTGAAGACTTTGGATTTGCCCTTTCATGAAGCATCATTTTGCACCTAACTTGTGCCCTTTGGGTCATTATCGTGATTGTTTTGTTTGATGTGCTTGCCAGATAACTATTCCAGTGCTCTACTGCCACTCGTTCTTGGGCTCCTTCCTTGTCATAGTTGCCTCTTTAAGCTTTAAGCCAACTAACCTCATACTGCTTTTACCATACCACGACGTGCCACTGAAACTGGACTTTTTCAATTTGTCATAAAGGCTGCTGATGCCACGGCTGATCACTTCAACATCGGTAGTGACAAGACAAAGTTACTAGGAAAAGATGGGACTTTGCAACAAGTGATCATGAAAGTTAGTAGCAATGAGAAATTTCAATGGAACACCAGTCTGAGCAAGTTAATGCTTGAGCCTTGGGTCAATTTTTAAAAAGTAGTATTTTTCTTTTTGGTGGACTTATAAAAATACTGTAGACCTGATTAATTCCACTTCCCTACCCTCTTTCCCCCTCTCCCTCCTTCTGTTTTTGCACCCATTCTCTCCCTTCACCACTCTTCTTTGTTCCTCCTTTAACGTTCTCCTTCCCTCGTCCTCACCTCCTCCTTCTTGCTTGCTTTGTTTCTTCGGCATCTGCTATTACTTGACTGCTACCTCCTTCTCCTTCACTTTACTACTTTGATCTTCATTCTTTTCACTTCTTTTGTACCCCCTCCTTTGGGGCCACTGTACCCACTCCCATATTTTCTGCAGGTACATTTTCCCATCTCTGAGAACGTAAAGTTATCCTGAAATCTTGCTTTTCTTAACTGGCTGCCTGTGTGGAAGATTTTTACATCTGAGTTCATCAAGAAACCTGTCAGTTGTCAAAGTAGTATAGTATATGAAGTTAAGCCTAGTATTTTTTTAAACATATTATATTGAAAAGTTGTGAGCCTTGACTTTATCCTCTTCAAAGAACTGTTACCTACCGGAGTACTGTTTCAAATTCAAATTGGCTATTCTTTCATTATCACCCTAGACAGTTAGTGATGGGTAACTATAAACATGTGCTGTTTCAATTCTGTCATCACCCAGGCCCCATTTTAGGGAAAATCTTACTCTAATTTATCAACACCAGTGAAAATTAGCTAATTTCCTCTTTGCCACCGTCACAAACCCAATTAGTTCCCGAATTGCTACCAGTCATCATTATCTGGGAACAAAACTGGAGCTTCTGATTTGTATGACTGAGTGCTACACGAGATGATTTTTCAATGTAAACTATAAATGTGGAGAGACTAAAAGGGAGAAAGTCAAAAGATTCAGTTTCATGTTTTCTTCCTTTCAGGTTTTTCGTTCTGTGACTAGATTGGAACTGAACACACTGCAGTTGTGAACTTGTGAAGACAAATAAAATATATTTTTGTCACAGAAGATGTGTAGGAGATGATAGCTGAACCTGAAATACCCACAGAATTTCATCTCCCTCAGTAAGTTGTTTTAGTTATTCAGCCTGACAATGTTTCATAATGAAAACTGCTAATCTTGCATGTTTTCCAACACTATACAGTTAATATTTTTGTATCTTTTCTTGAAGCCAGAGATTTAGGCTGAGATATGGTTCGGTGGGCCAACGGCTCACGTAAGAGGCTAACCTTCACGTGCTAGCTCAGAAGGTGAATTTCGGTGGTCTGGTGAACTAAGGAGGACATATGTCACTAATCTAAACTGATCCTAGTTTATTTGATTTCCACACCTCAGCACAAAGTAATTGAGGCTAATAAACCTCAGTACCGAATCACATGGTGCATTTCCAATGTTCAGCATGACCAAACTGAATTTTCACATTTGGAGCTCTTTCTTCCTTTTATTTATGTTTTCATATCTTGTATCTTTGGTTTGATCATTGAAATCTTGAATTTTGGCATTTTATTTCTCTACATATGCATAAACTGCAGTTCAATGCAACGAACTACAGTTTTCTACTTAACCTGTTCAGATGTGTTTTGACACACCCCTGGAAAGCATGTGGCCTGAACCTCGCCTGCTGGTGTGCCGCGAGCCCTTGAACCTTCAACCATGGCCGTTAGCCCAGTGGCATTATTCTTACGTCATTGTCTCCTCTTAAGATTTCTTATATATTCCTTTTTTTTTAAGACTGCTTTAAGCTGGTTGATTCAGTCTGTAACCAGCGCTTTTAGTTTCTTCAGTGCGAACTGATCTGTGAATATGAGAATGTGGCAAAGTTCTTTTAGTAATTTGGCCTTTTTTGGAACTGCCCCCATATGTACTACTCCTTTAATTTCATTGACTGACGATCCTTCAGGTGGAAACCACCCTCCTTCTCCTCCTCCTCCTCTCCCTCTCCCCACCCCCCCCTCCCCACACCAAACACTTGAATGCTTCACATGAATTCATTCATAATTAATGCAGCCACAGAGTTGTACAGCATGCAAACAGACCCTTCAGTCCAACTTGTCCATGCCGACCAGATACCCTATGTAAATCTAGTCCCATTTGCCACTATTTGGCCCATAATCCTTCTTAAACCCTTCCTATTCATATACCCATCCAGATTCCTTTTAAATGTTGTAATTGTACCAGCCTCCCAACACCACTTCTAGCAGCTCATTCCATACGCGCGCCATCCTCCATGAAAAAGTTGCCCCTTAGGTCCCTTTTAAATATTTCCCCTTGCACCTTAAACCTATGCCCTCTAGTTTTGGACTCCCCCACTCCAGGGAAAAGACCTTGTCTATTCACCCTATCCATGCACCTCATCATTTTATTAATCTCTACAAGGTCACCCCTCAGCCTCCGATGCTCCGGGGGAAATAGCCGCAGCCTATTCTGCCTCTCCCTACAGCTCAAGCCCTCCAACTCCGGCAACATCCTTGTAAATCTTTTCTCAACCCTTTCAAGTTTCACAATATTCTTCCTGTAGCAGGGAGACCAGAATTGAACGCAGTATTCCAAAAGTGGCCTAAACATAGTCCTGTGTAGCTGCAACATGATCTTCCGACTCCTATACTCAATGTACTGACCAATAAAGGCAAGCATACTGAACGCCGCCTTCACTATCCTATCTATCAGTGACTCCACTTTCAAGGAACAATGAATCTGCACTCCAAGTCCTCTTTGTTCAGCAACACTCCCCAGGACCTTAACGTTAAGTGTATAAGCCCTGCCCTGATTTGCCTTTCCAAAATGCAGCACCTCACATTTATCTAAATTCAACCATCTGCCACTCCTCGCCCCACCGGCCCATCTGATGAAGGTCCAGTTGTGCTCTGAGGTAATCTTCTTGGCTGTCCACTACACCACCAATTTTTGTGTCATCTGCAAACTTACTAACCATATGTCCTATCCAAATCATGTCCTTAAATGACAAAAATCAGTGGACCCAGCACCAATCTTTGAGGCACACTACTGGTTGATATGTTTGAATGAAGTGTTGGACTTTTTTTGAATGCTGTGAATTGCAAACAGGCAGTAGTTGCCAACATTTAGAGCCAAGGCTACACTTCAACAAATGTGTCTTGCAAAATATGTTTGCTTGATGTTTTTGATCAAGTGGTAAAGGAGCAAAATCTAGGTTTTCCTCTCACTTAGTAATTATCTGATGACAAGGGTGTCCTGCTTAAGATTTATGAACATTTTGTTTCTACCTTGTCTTGCTGCTTTGCTGTCAGATCTGTGTTGTTTGATTTAGCAATTCAGTAATTTGCTTCCAAGTATTGGACACAGTACTGCTACTGTGGAGTCTTGTGATGCACATGAGCAACTTGAACAGTGTCTTGCTCCCTTGTGAAATCTGTCACCAGAAAAGAATTGTGTGTGAAAACATCAAGTCACACACCAATTATCCTGACTTGGATGTTCATCACTGTTTCTTTATTGTTTCTTAGTTTACATCCTGAAATAATTTGCATTGCACCATTCTGGGACAACTGTAAACACAAAGAGAAGAGAGAGCTCACCTATCGCTTTCTCAGAACAGCTAAGAATGGTCAATAAATGCAGCAGACCTTATCCTTTGGAGCAAATTTTTAAAGATATTAATTAGAACAATGATGGGTGCACTTGGATATATGTGGCTTATTACTTACAGTCGTTTGCTCCTTGTATGTACCTTCCACCTTCAAAACTTTTAATTGGCAACTAAACATTTAAATAAAAGAATAGTACATTCACACAATGTAATTGGACTTCCAACAGGCATTTGGTGAAGTTTCATATGCAGGCTATCAGTTAATGTTCAGGATGTGGAGAATCCAAATAAAGTTTGGTTTTCGATTAGAAATTGGCCCAGGAATGAAAAATAGATTCATGTAAGAGAATACATATCAGGCAGCTCCTGTCTGACAAATCTATTACATATTTTGAGGATTTTTCCAGCAGGATAATTGAAAGGGAATCAGTGGATGTCATTTACTTCGATTTTGAAAAGGCATTTGTTCAGATTTCAAACATGTATTACATTGAGAGAAGAACAAAGAACAAAAACAATTACAGCACAGGAACAGGCCCTTCGGCCCTCCAAGCCTGCGCCGATCCAGATCCTCTATCTCAACCTGTTGCCTATTTTCCAAGGATCTGTATCCCTCTGCTCCCTGCCCATTCATGTATTTGTCTAGATACATCTTAAATGACGCTATTGTGCCCGCCTCTACCACCTCTGCTGGCAAAGTGTTCCAGGCACCCACCACCCTCTGCGTAAAGAACTTTCCACGCATATCTCCCTTAAACTTTTGCCCTCTCACCTTGAAATCGTGACCCCTAGTAATTGAGTCCCCCACTCTGAGGGAAAAAGCTTCTTGCTATCCACCCTGTCTATACCTCTCATGATTTTGTAGGCCTCAATCAGGTCCCCCCCTCAACCTCCATCTTTCTAATGTAAATAATCCTAATCTGCTCAACCTCTCATCATAGCTAGCGCCCTCCATACCAGGCAACATCCTGGTGAACTTCCTCTGTACCCTCTCCAAAGCATCCACATCCTTTTGGTAATGTGGCGACCAGAACTGTACGCAGTATTCCAAATATGGTCGAACCAAAGTCCTATACAACTGTAACATGGCCTGCCAACTCTTGTACTCAATACCCCGTCTGATTAATGAAAGCATGCCATATGCCTACTTGACCACTCTATCGACCTGCGTTGCCACCTTCAGGGTACAGTGGACCTGAACACCCAGATCTCTCTGTGCATCAATTTTCCCCAGGGCTTTTCCATTTACCGTATAGTTCGCTCTTGAATTGGATCTTCCAAAATGCACCACCTCGCATTGGCCTGGATTGAACTCCATCTGCCATTTCTCCACCCAACTCTCCAATCTATCTATATTCTGCTGCATTCTCCGACAGTCCCCTTCACGATCTGCTGCTCCACCAATCTTAGTGTCATCTGCAAACTTGCTAATCAGACCATCTATACCTTCCTCCAGATCATCTATGTATATCACAAACAACAGTGGTCCCAACACGAATCCCTGTGGAACACCACTGGTCGCAGTTGTCCATTTTGAGAACCTCCCTTCCACTACAACTCTCTGTCTCCTGTTGCCCAGCCAGTTCTCTATGCATCTAGCTAGTACACCCTGGACCCCATGCGACTTCACTTTCTCCATCAGCCTACCATGGGGAACCTTATCAAACTCCTTACTGAAGTCCATGTATATGACATCTACAGCTCATGGGATTGGGGTAATATATTAACATTGAGTCCATTTGTAATTCAATTTGTACGGAAGTCAGAATACAACGTAGAACGATATAAAGAAGCTTTTCGTATGTGCAAGAGATGTTTGTATGTTGAGTCTTCAGAATTACACCACTGCATGTGATCATATTCATAGCACAAGCATTCGTATATTGGGCTTTTCAAATTAAACCCTAGTATATGATTAAGTTCCTAAGTCCGAGCTTTCTTTCTTAAATTGGGGACCCCCTATGTGCAAGATTATTTTGAAAAGTGCAGAATGGTATTTTCAAGTGCTGGCCATGTATCTAGTGTTAAGCTTGGAGGATCAGTATAGAAATCTATAATGAAAACTTGAAGGATGAGTGAAATCTATATTAAAAACCTGAATGAATTATTCTTGGTAACTTATCTTAGTTTACTGATCATACAAGGCAAGGTGATGTGGTAATTGTGAGGAGACATGGAGGCGGTATAGATCAGTTAATTAAGTAGGTAATAATTTGGCGGATGGTCTATTAAGTGAACAGTGAGATTATTCACTTTGGTGGGAAGAAAAGAAAAAAAAACTACTACTTTGACAGCAAGAATCTTTAACACTAATGTTGGCAAGACTTCAGAGTTATTGTACCAGTAATGCAGAAAACTGCGTGTAAGTGCACAAATAAATGAGCAAATTAAGTAGTGTTTGAAATTTGGCAAGAGTTTGTGTACACAAGTAAAGTTGCCTTGCTGCAATTGTATAGTGCTATTCTAGATTGCTTACATTGTTATGACCTTATCAAAAGA